CATCCTCACAGAAAACGCCCAGCGATTTCTTTTGCTACTAAGACGTGTGCATGTGGGCAAGAGCCTATCAACCAAGACCTGCAGACAAACCGAGACGGGCAATTCGCCCGCTCTCCCGGACGGACGGGGACCACGGCTGCGACAGGCGCAGGTAGGTCCCATTAGTCGAGTATAGCGTAAGCACTGGTAGAGTCGGTGATGACGGCGACCAAACAAACGGCGCTTGGCACCGTGCTAGAAACAAGAGAGGTCGGCAGAGGGTGGTGGTGGTGTGAGCGGAACCCCGGTCGGGGGTGCTAAGCGCGGCGTTGCTCGATGCGGGCTCGTCGTGGTGCTGGGAATCGGATTGGGATTGGGATGTCTGGCTCGAACCGCTGGCCCGGGCGAGGGGTGTCGCACAACAGTAGGCTAAGGCTGGGAATTCCAGCCCGACGACGGGGCAGCGGAATGTGGGCATCGGATGACAATGGGCAGGAAGGCACCATGAGAAACAGAACGGGGGAAATGGGCGGAGGGGTTTTGAGGGGAAATGCAGAGGGGGGGCGGTGGATTCTGGGGTTTACTACTAGCGGCGCTGGTAGCGTCTGTGGCCTCTAATTAGCGTCTTGGTAGCTGTCGATCGATGGGAATCAACCAGTCTCACCAGTCTCACCAACTGAAGATAAACTCGGGTGTGGTGGACTCGGTGGGCTTGATGGCTCGGCAGATGTTGGACTAATGTCGGGCGTTATTAATGAAAAATATTATGTTGACTGCGAGTTCCATTCTGAGAATCTGGGGAAGGGTTCGCGCCGACTTACAGACGACTAACATAGCGGCTAATAGAACCCTACAAGCCGCGACGAGTTAGGAATTGGCGGGTAGACAAGGACAGGGCAGGGAGCTGACTGCCACCTTCCCTTCTGATATTAGATCATAACCTAAAGGTAAACTGATATGCTTACACGACGTGACTGACATACTGCAGACGCTGCGAGACATGATACTACCATGCCACGGTACGGGACCGCTGGAATTCGATATTGCAACAGCGCAATCATGGACCACAAATGACCTCCGTGTGGTGCTATGCGTGTCTGCGGCGCTGCAAATATGCCAATAATAATTGCTTCTCATTTTTTTTGCTCCTGCTCAGTACCGTGCAACTCCGTTCAGCTCGTTGTCTGTGCCCTGAGTCTGTGCTATCAATGGCACACCTCATACGAGATCCGGGCAGATCCCGCTTCCAGAAAGCTTCCACGTCTCGTCATGAACCTTCGCCCCTCGCAAAATGGCTATCATTTCCGAAACGATGCCGCGCTTTGACTGGGCGACCGCCCGATGCAGCACGTGGGAGAGAAAACAAAAAACAAAAGGCAGCAAAAAGGGAAAGCGGATGGCGATACGGTGACACACGATGGCATGCAAATCCGCAAATCCCTGTTGGGTTTCGCTTCAGACCGCTTCAGGCGCAGCCACCATTCATGCTGGCCTCTCTCGACTTTATCCATCTGCCCGAAAGCTTCACCCGCCGCCACGTGCGGGGAGCGATGGGGGAGAAATGGGAAGATTTAGTGGACTGCTAGCGCAGTGTGTAAGCTACGGGCCTGGATGCCGTCGTGCCCCAGGGCTGCTTTTGGGTGCGCTTGGGGGGGTGCAGCCCGCCGAGATCTTGAGGCACTCGCTCGCGATCCAATTGAATGCGGCCACGGCCGCCAAGCCGGGCGAATTATACAGATCCGGGCTGTTGGTGGCGCTCGCACTGGGCCATGATTCGGCTGCAACCCCGCGCCAATCTCACTCTCTCGACGGTCCAGAGCCAAGGGCGGCCAAGCCTCCAAGATCCTCTTGGCCGACGCCGGTGGATTGTTTTCGAGAGCGATACCCAGAATTAACGACACTCACTATGACCCTCTCTGCCGGATTACTGAGCCAAACACAGCTGCAGGTCGATGAATTCCTTAGTTGCATCATATCAGACCGTGCCACCCACACGTCTTGGCATTTTTGGTCCATTCCTCGCAGTCGAGCCCACCGTTTCTGCCCGTTCAGTGCGCGCAGGACATGGCGCGAAAGGGGAAGAAGAGCAACTCGCTGCTGATCGTTCCCTTTTTCGACGCAGAGATGGACTGCTCTACACTGCCGGCCCGCCAACGAAAGCCCTTCTTCTCATTTCTTGTGTTCCCCGACGAGAATATAGAATATCGCCTGTACGTCCAGGAATAACGTGCCGATGGCTGAAACCCCCCCCGCCTGCTGCCCAGTGTCGGTCCCCTGTCCTCTCTCTTCTTCACCCCCCAAAATGTTTCCCTCCCTCAATGCGGTAGCATGGAACTAGATGTGACCGTTGCAGCCTGATCCACACCCTCTCCGAGTCCCATCCTTCGTCCTGCCTTGTCTCCTCTCCCCTCCGTCCTGGACCGTCCGCACTCTCGCATATCCACACGGCCTGCCATTGAGCCGGGGGGGGGGGTCCCGGGCAGGCAAAGTCCCAAGCGCGCGCACCCAGGGTCGTCTCGTCTGTATTGCGGTATACTGGGCTGTATTTGGGTCCCACGAGCTAACGTGGCATGGGAATTTGCTAAATGATGCCGCCCTTTCTGTCGCATTGCCATTGCTGGGGCCCGGTGTGTCTCTCCCATGCTCCGGTGTGAGTGCGAGCCAGCCATCCACCCCACCTGCAGTTAAGACAGCTCTCAGCAAGCATATAAGCTCGGCACCAGCCCGTGACGGCTTCTGTGTCTTGGCCCCAACCCGACTCTTTTCTCTCTCTTGTTTTCTTCCCCCTCCCCGGAACCGGGACTTGTTCACTGTTTTGTGCTTGACGAGTTCATCATGGGTTCCTCCACCGATGTGTCCGCCCCGGACGTGCCCACGACCGAGTCCGACAGCGTGACCAACGAGAAGGCCGTGTCCAAGGCCGCTTACGCCGAGAATGTCGACAACCCCGAGGCCGCCGCCTGGGACGCCGCGGCCACCAAGAAGCTGCTGCGCAAGATCGACGGCAACCTGATCCCCTTCCTGGCCCTGCTCTACCTGCTGTCCTTCCTCGACCGCACCAACATTGGCAATGCCCGCCTCGACTCGCTCGAGAAGGACCTGGGCCTGATCGCCAACAATTATCAGTACAACGATGCGCTCGCCATCTTCTTCCCCTTTTACGTCGCGGCCGAGATCCCCTCCAACATGGCCATGAAGCGCTTCCGCCCGTCCATCTGGATCCCGAGCATCATGGTCGCCTGGGCCGTGTGCTGCACGCTGATGGGCATCGTCAAGAACTACCAGGGGCTGATGGCCACGCGCGTTTTCCTTGGTATCGCGGAGGGCGGTCTGTTCCCGGGCATCACCTACTAGTAAGTCTCAGCTCATGCACCCTCTATCGTCACACGAAAACATGCTAATATGTCCCTAGCATCACCCTGTGGTACCGCCGCCACGAGTGCGGTCTGCGCATGGCCATCTTCTTCTCGGCCGCCACAGCCGCCGGTGCCTTTGGCGGTCTCCTCGCCCGCGGCATCGTCGAGATGCGCGGTCTCGGCGGTTTGTCAGGGTGGCAGTGGATCTTCATCCTGGAGGGCATTCTCACCTTCATCGTCGGTACGTCATCCCCCTTTTCCCCTTGCGCAACCCCCCCACTCTAACCCCCACGCAGCCGTCATCGCCTACTTCGTCATGAACGACTACCCGGCCACGGCCAAGTTCCTGTCGGAGCCGGAGCGCGTCGAGGTCACGGAGCGGCTCAAGCGCGATCGGTCGTCGCTCGCTGACGAGTTCGCGACCAAGTACTTTTGGGCCGCCGTCAAGGACTGGAAGATCTGGGTGCACATGTTTATCACCATCGGTGTGTACACGGGCCTGTACTCGTACGCGCTGTTCCTGCCGACCATTGTGCGCGATCTCGGCTACACCAACAACACGGCGCAGCTGATGACGGTGCCGCCGTATGTGGTTGCTTGCATCTTCTGCGTTGGCGCGGGCTGGCTTGCCGACAGGCTCGGGCAGCGCGGCCTTTTTATGATTTTCTTCATGGGCATGGCGTAAGCTCCCCCCCCCCCCCCTCCCTTTTTTCTCCCGTCACAAACTAACTCCGTGGACAGCATCATCGGCCTCATCCTCCTAGTTGCGACGCAGAACCCGGCCGTCAAGTACGTCGGCTGCTTCTTCCTGGCCTCGGGCATCTACCCCAACGTGCCGCAGGGCGTGGCCTGGAACGGCAACAACATCGGCGGCTCGCTCAAGCGCGGCGTCGGCATCGCTATGCACGTCGGCTTCGGCAACCTCGGCGGCACCATCAGCGCTTACCTGTACCTCTCCAAGGACGGCCCGCGCTACTACCCCGGCCATGGCACCCTCATGGGCTGCCAGTTCATGGCCATGATCCTGTCCATCTTCATGACCATCTACCTGCGCCGCGAGAATGCGCGCCGCGACCGCGAGTACAAGCCGCCCAGCGAGTACACCGAGGCCGAGAGGGTGGCCGAGAGGGAGAAGGGCGATAATGCCACGTTTTTTAGGTACACTGTTTAGGTGCATGATAAGGTAATGAAGGGAGGGGTGGAGAGGGGGTAGTACATAATGCTGTGGAAACAAAAAGGAAGCTTCCAGGTGACGGGAAGTGGATGGATCACATATCAATGTCGATGGCTCGAGGACCCGGGCGTTTTTCATGATGGTGGATGTATGATGAAAGCATAGAATCTTCTCGTACACATAGGTCCTCGCGCAGCAAATTGCATAGCGTTACTGTCCTGCCAGATATCCAATATTGTGGCGGTGAATGTACCGAATACATTGGCCTGCATCTTTCGCACTCGCTAATCTAAAGTCTTGGGCATGTAGCTTGTGGCTGCACGGCAACGGCAACTGCTGCTAAAGTGTTGAATGATAACAAGTCCAGACTTTAGACACTTGTTTTCACTGAAATGTCAAAGAGGTTGTCATAATTGAATTTGAGAGTCGGGGGGTTCCAATGGCGAGGGTTATATCTAATTAGAAAAGAAAGCGAGAAATTAACAAAAGAAAGGCCAGTTTGGGAATCGAACCCGAGACTACACCTGGGGGGGATTGTAGATTTTACAGGGAGCAAGCCGACACATACTACAGGTATTACATTACCACAACGCCAACTGGCCTTTGTTGAAAACTGGGTCTGGAGAAGCATCTGGTGTACCCGTGTGGAGGCGGTGGGGACTGACATAAGGGGGGATGAAATTCATCAAGTTCCTCGGTAGCCCGGAAGACAAGCAGGTTCGAGTTTAGTGTTTGACGCCAACAGGTGGGGTAGTGATGTCTCTATACGCTGTTCATCAACTTCATCCTTCCTCCTTTCATAGAGGCTGCCCTCGCCTCAGGTTGGCGTTATGAGATCCTGGCACAGCTTGAGCATGTGTATATATGTCAGAGCTGCTTTTATCGCAAACACAACTCCGATGCAGTAGTGTAAGATGTTTCAAGTAAGCTTCCCTGCTTGAGACATGACGTACATACATGTGGCACAGTTGTACCGAATTGGACAACTCTCACATTCCGCACATCATCCCTGAAGGCTAACTTCGTGTGGTTGCAACTGCCCTATATGGCGGGCAATAGGAAATATCAGCAAGTCTTTGGTTTAATGCTGAATACTTTTGAGAAGTGTGAATACATGTACCACCCCAGAAACTAAGCTGATGGTGTCATTCAGGGGTAACTATGCCTCTCATGGAACCACACGGATGGCCACGCAGGTTAAGCCTTGAGATCGATAAAAAGACTCGGCTATCGGCATCAGCGGTCTGGACCTTGATGCAGCCAAATTGCAGAGAACTCCTTCTCCAGCTTCCAGAGGAAACAGGATGTTTTGTCGGGGACTGCAAGGGCCGCCAAGAATGGTTGTCGGCTGTTTGCGTGGCTGTCTTATTTTAGAACGCTGTCAGCTTACAGCCATGTGGTACGGTGCTGAGAAACACTCGCAAATAGCAGCTCGCTGGCCGGGTATTCACCGGATCATGACCACCGAGGGCGAAAGTCCAATCATCCGGCGGCGCAGCCGCATGTCGGTGGTGGTCGGGTGTTGTCAGATGCAAAGCGCCTAAGATGGGGGAGGGTGATGGCAGCAGTACCCTACCCAACAGGCCAATTAGTACTAGTTTTCTGTCTCGCCGCGCCCATCTCTGTTGTTGTCTTCTTCACAATCTTTTCGAGGGGAGATTGAACGAATTCAACACTGTCGATATCCAGATCACTCCGTCGCCAAGATGCGCTACCCGGTCTTGATATCCCTCGCGCTCCTGTCATCGAGGACACTCGCGGCCCAGGTTCAGAGGGCGCATTCGGCAGAGATCACCTGTTACGCACCCGATGGTGTTACCGTCGCACCCAATGACACGGTCGTGCCGTGCAACAATCTCGGCATCACACAGTCCGGCGTCCACTCGAGCTGTTGCCAGCTGCTGGGCGAAGAGAACGACCGCGACCTCTGCGCAATAACAGGGCTCTGCCTCACCAACGGCATTGTCCGGCGGGGGTTCTGCACCGACCCGACGTGGAAGAGTCCGGCGTGTGTCAAGGTGTGCGATGACCCCAAGGTACGTTCTGTCTCCAATCCCCATTAATCCCCAGAAATACTGACCAAACCCCCCCAGGCCGGCGGCTCGCGCAACAGCTTCGCAGAAATGACATCCTGTACCGACGGCACCTACTGCTGCGGCCGCAACAACCTAACCTGCTGCGGGACCTCGTGGGCCGTGAAGCCGCCCACCCTCCTCTCGACCGCCATGAACAGCACCGCCCCCGCCTCCACCAAAACCGACATTGCGCCCATCGCCGGCCTAGGCGGGGCCCTGGGCGCCGTCGTCCTAGGTGCCGCAGGCGCAATCTTGTACCTCCTGCGCCGCATCAAAACCCTCCAGAAAAACCAGCCCCCAAAGGACAACCAACCGCTCCTCTCCAACCGCCCCGGAAGCGGCGAGCCGCTCAGGTCAATGAACCGCACCCCGGGGACGGCGGGCAGCAGTCCCGGCACGACGCCGTCGCACCTCGTGTCGCCGGCCAGCGGGGGGAATCCGGACATGGAGTTTTCCACCCTGAAAGCCATGTACGACAATGCGCTCCAGCAGCAGCAGCATCAGCAGCAACAGCAACCACAGAGGCAGTACCCACGTCGGAGTCCGAGTCCGGGGGCGCACTTTAGCTATTTGTATCGCGCGTCTGAGCTGGATGGGACGTCGACGGCGGCGCCGACACGGCCGCCGAAGACGCCGAGTATTTATGAGGCGCCAGCGCAGCCGGTCAGGAGTCAGAATCTGTCCCCTGGGCCGGGGAGGCAAAATCTGGAGCCGGGGATGGGGCAGCACCCGGTGAGATATCAAAATCTTGAGCCGGATCAGGGGCAACAGGGCAGGCAGAGATATGGAGGGTCTATGTACTAGATTATGGACCCATGGCATTTTTAAGCGTTTCACTTGTCTGTATAACATCTGCATTGGCGGTGTTTCTAGCATATATCGGAGTTGGAACTGGGGCTCTGGAAGCATTGGGAAGGATGGTATTATGAGATGGACATCAAAATGGTACCTTATAAGAGATGGGACTCGGAGCATTATTACCTTTATTTTGTTATAGCATATAATACAGCTTGAAGCAATTCAAAACATACGCCTCAATGTCTTGCATGCACGCTATTTCGCTAAACACTCAAGTGTGCAATTAGGACAAAAGTCATGGATACTATGAGGCACTTGGATAACCTTCTAAACACCATCAGATTCGGCTCACAAAACCATGACCCAGATCAGAACCAAATGAGGGATACCTGGGTAGTCTAAGACATCTGGTTGTCCTTTCCCCCTAACCCATCCCCGCTCCCCCAACCCACTCTTCCCTCACCCATCATCTACACACAAAGCCCACCACAATCCGCCCCTCCCCTCTTAGGATCACAGTCATCCCTCGGATCCTCAATACACCTCCTCCCATCCGCACACCGAAACCCTGCGAACCCCCCGCAGAAGACGGGCTTCACACAGATCCCCGGCGCGTCGCACGCCATGCCACACCCCCCGGAATACGGATCATCGATGCAAATCTCATCTTCGGCACAGTTGCGCGGCTGGATCCGGAACCCTCCGCACGACGGGTACGTTGGTCTGGGCTGCTTGGTGGTTTTTGTCGTCAGGGTCGTGAGGGTCTTGGTTGGGGCGGCCGTTGCGGTGATGGTGGTGGTCACGTTTGTGGAGGTCGCGACGGCAGCGCAGTAGCCGAGGCAGTTCTCGCCGCGGGTGCACGAGGGGTCCCGGCGGAGGCAGGTTTCACCTGAGGGGCAGGGCGCGATTTTGAGGCCGCAGGGGCGGCGGTCGGATGTGCCTGCGGCCAGGGCCGCGAGAAGGGTTAGGAAGGCGGTGGGGAGATGCATTTTGAATGTTTTGATGGGGATGATATGCCGCTACTTGGATGGAGAAAGATTGGCTTATGTAGGAGGTTGCCTGGTTGGGGATTCTTTACGGGATATGATTCTCTATATCTTGGATGTCACGGTCGAGGTAAACGAGACTCAGCTCGTCGTCGAGGTTGGTTCGGCTGAAATTGCACGTCGTTTCACTGCAATTTCGCTGTGCTAACCGTCGCGGAAGAATGTCTTGGTGTTCTGAAAGGAGCCGCGGCGGAGTCCTGGCCCGCCCCTGTTTTGGCGATCCCATCGTTTATTCCCATGCCAGTGGATGGCTGGCCTATTTTTGGCATATTGCGCCAAGCGTCGCCACGAGAAAGAGCCACCATCAGCGAGGGAAATCCGGGGAAGTTTAGTGAAAATTCCCCGTCGGGCCTTTACAGCTGAGACGCTGACCCGATTTCTGTGTACTAACTCTAGCATGAGGTAGAATGGAGTTGCATCCCGCCAAGTTTTTGTTGAGCCAGCAAGTTTTCACATTGCCATCGATCTCCTCAACTCGTTTGGAGGCAGCCTGGACCCCATGTCTTATGCTAGCCTGACAGTAATTTCCTGGGCTTACGGCTGATTACAGGGAGACACCAGCCCAACGACCGAGTGGGACAAGGCGGCTCAGGTTCCACTGGTATGCCCACTTCCTGACTAAGTTTGGGGTTTGAGACTTGACTTAACTATATTGTCGTAATTACATCATGTGTTACTGGACTTGGTCACTTTGCTCCTTGTCTTTGTCAATACTTTTTTTCACAGCTAACAAGACATGAAGAAAACATGAATTGATCAAAGGATATCTTGGAATCCCAGACTGCTGTAAGAAAGCTTGCGATAGACTTCTAAGGATGCATCGGGGCTGTTAAGAGACATGATAGAAGAGAGGTGCGCCACTAACAGGCAGTTGCACTTCAATTAGCCAAGGGGACCACTTGCTAACTTGGTATGTCAACTGACAGTACCTCATGGGCACAATAAAGCTGACCACTCTTTGCAACGCGTAGCTCAGTTGAGGGCCCGAGAACGTACAACTTCTACTTTCAGCCTTTCTATATGTCTTGTTGAGTCTTGACACCCAGCTCAACATGGTTCCATAACGTTGAAGAACCTCGTATGGACGGCTTAAAAAGAGTGTAACAGGCACTTTAGCACCCCGCAAAAATGAAATGCGGTTGATGTTAAATCACATGGTCACATCAGACTACCTCAGCGATCCGCGCGGAAGCTAACCGCTCCTCCAACACTACCCACAAAGTTGCAACAGCCTTAACAGCACCTTTTTTGGTGATACACGTAGCATTTAGCAGCAGAGAAACTGGAAGTGGCGGCTTAGGAAGCCAAAGTTTGGAAAAAGCCTTAGCATCCAACTTTAGCTTAGCATATAGATATTTACTTATAAGTACGGCTCCTACACCTTAGACTTAGAGAATTTGAATTTCTTCATAACTCATACCTTGTCTTCCCCAAATATCAGCATAATTCCTTTATCCAAAACTCAGAGTAAGATTCTCTTCGCCTACTAACTTAGTCTGACGTTTCCTATGACCAATAGCGCTAACCTGAGGTGGCGTCATAATGTTCACACGCTCGACCGTGCTGGGCGCTATTGCCGGGGTAGGGGGTGCCATGGTTTTCAGCAGAGCTGCGGAGTGAGCCAGTTTCTGCATACTCCACCAGAGTCTAACGCGGTAGATCGCTTTATTGTTCAATTCTAAA